CCTCTCTATGGTTGCTGAAACGCCTGCTAGTGGATACCATGACAGACAAGAGCTGGGTCAGTCAATTGTGGTCTGACAGGCGAATTCATGTGTTTCTGTCACTTAGCTAGGGACCGTGACCGTCATCCTTGCACATGATCCCAAGCATCCCCTGTTTTAGGCAGCTACTTTAGCATCTCTGACAGCATAGGACACAACATTTTCTTTTCCAAGGAGGCAAATTAAACTCCAGGGCTGCCATCATTCGCCCTGTGTGAATTGGCAGAATTCGTGTAGCACACAGCTGATTTCGTAGGCAAGAGGGGATCAAACATTATGTTGGACCCCAGGCCAGAGCGAGCATGTTGTGGCACTGCCTACACCTCCTAGAGGCTTCAGCACCTAAGAGGCTTTCACTGTTGTTCTTCCCCGCGGTAGGAAAGTACTGCCCTGTCTCAAGTGGTCTTAGCTTATCCCCTAGTGCAGTGATGCTCAACACGGTGCCACTGCACCCGGGGTTGCCTTGAGATCTTTTCAAGGGTGCCGCACAATGTTAGGACTGTTAGGTTTGCAAGCACGATTCACAAGATAAACCCAGAGATTTCAAATAGAAATCGATAGTTGTGGCCTTTCTGAGTTCCTTGCAACAACAAAACTGCTCTGTTATTTTCTGGAGTCCGAAAAAAAGAGTGAGAACTAAGAGCTGGCATTTTCCAAGGGGTGCTGCGAGTCTATCCAGGCATACCTCGAGTCTAAAAAGGTGCGAACCACTACTCTAGTGGATATCATAAACTGCCTTATATGCACACAGCACTCCTTGCGCTATGTAGCATAACCTCTGGGGAATAAAGGAACCTGGGTACCAAAAATCACTTGCTCAGCCCAGATGCGCAAAGCTGGAAACAGGATAAAAACGAGAGCAACATGATGAGGGAAAGATGTTTGTTGGCCCTGGCAACTCCAGAGAGAGCACCCACGAATGATCACACAAATGCCTGGATGGGTTTGTACTCAGAGGTCCAAATTTTCTCACTAAGCTGCCTTAACAAAAACACTCAGCAGACAAGACAATATGTGGCAAGCCAGTGTGTCATGCACAGGTTCCTTTTTGTTTGGCATTAAGGAAGAAGTTGGTGTCTTTTCTGAGAAGCAGAGGGCCAGAAATCATCTCCATTGATCTCGTGCTTTGTTAATACCATACCTAATCAAGCTAGTGAATTTGGCCCGATGTCAGATGTGATCCCATTTGGCCAGAATCCAAATTAACCTGATTAATTTCAGTTTGAGTTTAAAGAGAGCCAGCAAGGATACTAGGCCCAGCATTTCCCCTCCCTTTCTTTCTGTATTCTTCTCTTCAAAAATCAAATGCTTGTTAAAAAGCAAATAACTGTCAGCTTCCCACAATGTTTTTAAGTTCCTTTATAACAAGAGGTTGCTTATATAGCACTAGTCTCATGAGTGACCTTAGTGCAGCAAATAGCTTCACACAACTTACATGAATTATACAGCGAGAAACCATTGGTCTTGTGCAATGCAGGCGAAGGGAAAAAGTTAAGGAAAGAGCTGTTTCTAGCTCCTTAAGCTCCTACCAGAACCTGGGAGGTGGATTGTTTATAAGAACTGGTAAAAAGGAGTTTTAAAGTTGCTCCAGACTTTTAATTTTGTATTTTAATTTTGTAATTGCGTCTGTGTAATATATTTGAGACCAGAAAGAATGATCATCCACCGCTGTGCTGTGTCTTGCCATGCTGGCAGCTGTGGTCACGGTGAAGGTGACAGATTGGTATTTTGTCAGTGTTGATATTAGCTGAGAGTCTGTCTGAGGCTAGGGTGTAATCTGTGAATGTCGTGGAAATGGAGGGGGGGTTGGTTGTTCTTCATGCACAGTCTTATTTTTTGCATTTTGGCATGGCCAGACTGCAGGGGTGTTTGTGGGCTTTCCCTTGTAATTTTCCACCGCCTCACTCCCAGGTTTTGAGTCGTTGTTTGTGCTCCCTTGTAGTTATGAGAAGATTAGATTCTGCCTCTTTCATCCGAAGGCTCGGCTTTGCAAAACAAATCTCCTACTAGGATAAAAGGCATACAACAACGTGCTTTGTGACTCAGGTGACTACATTACCTGCCTATTGTGTGGCCGGTCACTGGTGGACAGGTTTGAAAAGCCAGAGCCATTTTTGACATGCAAAGACTGTAGGCTTCAGAAGAGTTTGAATGAAAGTACCTTAGTGAAGCGGGGGGGAAATGTTTTCAGTGGGTGCCCAGACAGATAAGAAGGTAATGAGAGGAAGCACTCAGCTGAGTGTTGCATGCAGCCTGGCACAGCAGCTCGCTGCTCTCTGGATTTCAACAATTTGTTCTGATTTCTTGCTGAACGCTGTTGGCGCTAAGTTCAGTATTTCACAAAAGCATTTATTGTCACAGGCAGGGAGGAATCGGTTGTTAGTGTTACAGCAGTATCTCAAGGCCTATTACGCATGTGGCTGCTGCCACTTGAGAAGTAGCTCGTGCCCAGAAGAGTGAGTAATCCAAGTGGGCAAGGCAGGAGAAGGGTGGCCAGTACAAGGGAGGTGAACTTGCCACATATCGGGAGATGATATTGCTTCCCCCCTTCCCCCAGCCCTATCGCTTCCTTTGTAGAGAGGGCAGAGGGGCAGGAGGCTTCCCCCCTTCCTCACCCTTAACTGGGATTTCCTGACGCAGCTCACCCCCAAAGGAACGGATCAGCACCGAGGGGTTGCAGACTTTCCCTTGGCCGCTCCAGTTTTTGCAGCTCTGCCTTGGATGTCAGTTTGGTTTTAAGAAAAAAAGGAAAGGACGAGGAGGGGAAAAGCAGGAGAGGTGCCGTCCCTTTAAACATGTAAATGAGATTGTTCAGAGTTAAATCTCTCCCCTCAAGCCCCTTTAAGACTTGACACTTTCCTCCCCTTTCCCCAGTGCTGTTTGTTTTTACACTTGACCTGTGGTACAAATCCCATTATGGCATTATCTCTGTGTGTTTAGTTTAGGGCCCAGAGTGGCTGTCTCCAGCCCTGCCTGAGCAGAGCAGTCTCCCGGTAGGGGACGGGTCTCCATGTTAAGTCTTGCCACCTGTTGCCTTTTTCATTCCAGGTCCCTCTCCGCCCCCCTCCACCCCAGCTCCCCTCCCCACATTGCTCACCATCCCCAGTGGATAGGGCTGGGATTGGCAGTCAGTTGCCAAATACTTTTCTGATGCCGTCACCGCTTCTGCACAGAGAGTATCTCGGAAAGCACAAGTGAATCTTTTCCAACATGCTGTCTGTCCTGTGCTTTCTGCGCTAGGCATTCAGCAATGCCCCTTCCTCGCAGGGTACATGTGAGGGGGGCTGCGCCACAGCTGATTTCAGAATGGACGCAAAGAAACGGAGAAACGCTGAAGCGGCGCCAAGAGAAGCCGTTGCAAATCAAAGCTGGCGTTCGGCACTGGCACGGGCTAATTTTGTATTCATGGTTACACGTATGCACACCCATGTCATTCTGCATCATCTGCTACGTATGAAAGCTGCCCCAGCCTCCCGCATGCCAGAGATTGCTTTAGTAAGAGATCTGTACCCATTTTGGGTACATTACAGCACATATTGGGCCATGGAAGCCATCGTAGCAGTGCAGGCTGCCAGATTAGCTGGCGCTGGCTTGAGCTGCAGCTTTGCAAAGCTGCCCTGCCACCCATAAAGACAGCAGACTGCTCGTGTACCTTTCTGCAAGAGTTAGCTCCAAACTGAGGTGGGCAAAGCAGTGTGTTCGGTATTGGAACGTAGCTACACGTTTTGGCGAGGGTGGTTACGGCTAAGGGACTGAGGGTCTTTTGACATATTCTTATCCCAGCTCTGCCTGCTCCTAGTGTGACTTCTGGATCAATCACTTAACCACAGCACTCCACAATGAGTGCTCTTTAGGGAGGGCTCTGCATGCGGGTGCTTGACGTCTCCAGACAGTGCTGCGTTCCACCCGCTGACAAGTAGGCCCCTTCAAAGCGCCGCATATTGGACACCCAAATATCATTAACTGCTTGTGTGCCTCAGTTTCCTTGTCTGTAAAAGGAAGGCAATACTTGCCCATCTGTTTAAAGTGCTGTTAGATGAAAGGATGGGAAGTTCTATGAAAGTGTAGGTTATTAATACTGGGTATAGCCATATGGTGCTGCTGCCTTAATTACTGCCTCGTTGGACACAACTATGGAAAACCAATGAGTTTACCAACTTACAGAAAGAAAGAAAGGAATAGAAACAAAGTTGGTGTGTTCTTGTTTTATTATTTGTACTCTTGATGCAGGATGAGGTCCGGAGCCCTCTCCCCTCCCACCTGATAGCGTTGTTTGTGCTGGCTGAGCTTCAAACTGGTATCCCCAATGTACCAGTTAAACCAGTAGTTACCAATTTTTTTGCAAGCCACACTGGGATTGTAGGAATTTTATTCTTTCACAGTGTTGAAGGAAAGGAGTCCTGCTTGCCAAAGGGCTTTCTTATGCTTGAGGGTGATTTATAGGCCAAGCTGAGCCACTTGTGGAAAAGGCAAAGCAGCTCTTGGCAGCGCCCCCAGAATCCACTGCAGCTGTGGGGTAGTGAAGTCATCGGCATAACAACCATTGCAAACAAAATAACAAAGTCTGCTCTGTTCTCATTTAAAATACACTTTCCAATTCAGAAACCACATTAAAACTCACCTTTCTGCATACACTAATAATAAAAAAGGCAGATGTCTCCCAGCAACATGGTGTGAATGGCTCAATTATATTTCTGCTTCATTTTAGCCCTTGTATCATAAACTTTGTGACATTCCTATATCTAATGAATGAATGAAGGCAGCATTGTGTTGTGGTTTACATTTGTCTCTGTCCCTTTGTCTCTTCCATTTGTGGCTGTGATGGATCATTTAAAGAAGCCGCAGAAAAGATCAATATTTGTTTTAAATATCAAGTTTGCTTTGCCTTTTATCCTGGCACTAAATTTACTGAAAAGAGTAATTATTACATTTCTGCCCTTTTTCCCTCCTCTTCCCTTCAGGTCCCTTCGGATCCTCCTGCTTCCAAAAAACCCAAAATAGATGACTCTACTTCTCAGTCCCCAAATTCAAGTGAGAAGGAAAAGCAGTCCAGCTGGTTACGGTCCTTGTCCAATTCATCCAACAAGGTGACTCTTAACACAGTTTTGTTCAAAGTAGACAGATAAAATCAGTACTTGGTGTCCTTCTACTGAGGCCAGTAGAGCAAGACAAGGGATGACTTTGGCCCAATCCTCCTAAATCTAAGACCTTCCCTCATTTCCCTGAAGAGCAGTGAGTTTTCCTGTCCTCCCATTTTTCCTGCCATCTCTCATTGAGCCCTGGCCTCGCTGTGAGATGAAGCAAGCAGTTTAGTTTGTTCATGCTTTGGAGGAACAGGGATTCTGAAAGACCCAGGAGCCTTGTGTGTTCCCTTGCAAACCACATATTATTTATTGGCAAGCACCGCCTGTATAGTATTTTAAATTTAATCCAATTCAGCTCTTCCAGTGAAAGCTGCTAAGCAATTAAGTCCAGTAAGCCAACCTGGCCTGGGAATTGGGTTAGAGATAACAGAATGCATGCATGTGTACGCACACGCTCCCAGCCTCTCTCCACTGCAGTTTATACTTTTAGAGAAGATATGGGTAATGCTGACCTATTTTCATTCATGTCTTTCCTTTTTCTTTTCCTTCCCTCGCAGAGCATTGGCTGCGTCCACCCCCGTCAGCGTCTCTCTGCTTTCCGGCCTTGGTCCCCCGCTGTTTCAACAAACGAGAAAGACCTCTCAACACATCTTCCCACGTTGATGCGAGACAGGTAAGAAGACATGAATCAAATGGGAGATACGTTGGCAGCTGCAGACTTTCCTCTTCCAGAAAGGTCTGTCAGATTGCTGGGTTATTTCCTTTGACTTGGTATCAATGGCAAGTGGCTTTTCATGAGTGAGATGTCCCATGAAAAACTGTGAAATGAAAGGTCTTTCTGTGAGCTGATTCAATGGTGCAAAGGTGCACAGTGATTTTGTGCAGATGATCCAGAACGGTGGTCCCCAGCCTTCCTGGGTTTTGCTGTGTAGGTGTTTGTTGTTACTTGCTCTCCTTTCTGTAGTTTCATTACTTTTCATGCACAGGTCTCTACACAGGCACAGCACAGGAACGTTTGTGTCTATACTTAAAGTTGTCTGACACTCCATTTTAAATCCTTGTTTTTATTTGCTGGTAACTTTGTGAAATTTGAACTATTTGGGCTAGTAATCTTCCTGCGAGGTGTCTGCCTCAAGCTAAGTTAATGGCTCCCCCCAGACATGTTTCAACTAAAAAGATGCAGGTGGTTTTGAGAAGGGATTCTAGAAAATGCATAAATACATTGGCTCATGTTAAAAAAAAAGGAGGGGGGGAAGCTCAACAGTTTTGTTGAGAAACTTGAACAGGCTTGGAATTTAGCTGGGAGTAACACTTGTGTCAGAATGTGCCATTTCCTGTCCCTGGAAGAAATCTGACCAGTTCAGAAGCCTCTGAAAAAATTCAGTTTGTACATGCTTAATGAAACTTCAGTGTGTAATTAAAGATTGTGTCATACCGAATATATACAGGGGAGCTGACTTCAGGTTACATGGACAGCCTTAATTCTGGCATTTCCTAAATTTAGAGTGCTTGACATTGCAACAGTGATGCCTTTTAACATGTTTTTTGGATGTAATTTAATATATTTGCACTCAAATACTTGCCATGTGGAGAAATAAATTATATGCTGCAGTACATTGTTTGCACTCTCATGGCTTTTCTCCAGGATGTGCAATCTCTAAGGTTGCAAGACATTTGTGGGTGGGTAATAGTAAAAGCTCAACATCTTGAAAAAATCAGTAAAGTGCCAGATACATAAACGTAAAATAGGATTTACTTTTTGGAGACTTGAGTCTCCAACCTCTCTTGTATTTGCACCGTATGTAGTACTGAAACTATAATGTTCACCACACTGAAAGGAGGGTATATCTGTAAATCTCTCCTCTGCATTCAGAACTGTGGCTCACCTAACCAGTATAGAGATTAGACCAGATCCTCAGCTGATGTAAATGAAGGTTGAAATCAGCAGAAATCCACTGAGTCACGTCAGTTGAGGACCTGGCCATTTTTGCACAACACTTTGATTAGGAGGCATTTTAAAGGCAAGACAACTAAATGTTTTACCCCTCCCTTTTTCAGCAGTTTTTATTCCTACAAAAGTTTTGAGAGTGCCATAGCTCCCAATGTGGCACTCGCGCCTCCTGCTCAACAGAAGATTGTAAGCAATTCCCCGTGTGCCACAGTGGTGTCACGGAGCAACGAGCCACTGAACAGCCCTGCCCAGCCCCGGAAAAGGAAGCTGCATGCAGACACCCCAGCAGTTCCAGAGCCGGTGGCCACTGTCACCACCACCGAAGAGGACAAGGAATCAGAAGCCGAAATTGAAGTAGAGACCAGAGAGGAATGTAAGTGTGAGTTGCACTTGCCTTTCATTTTCCCCCCCTCAGTAATCTTGGGTGGAGTTTTCCACAAGATCCCAAAGGTGCTCAACCCCATTTTGATTCATGTCACTGAGAACCGACATAACTGCCTTGGGTACCTAGGAAAAGCCCAGTCTTACACAATAATGAAAAACAGGAAATTAACACCTACAAACCTGCGGGTGACATTTTTACTGGAGGCGTACCCCTAAAAAGCCCATGCCTCGAGGGCTTCCACAAAACCTGAATCCATGGCACTGAACTGGGTAAGGAGCTGTGCGGATAAGTACAGCATGACATTTGAATAGAAAACCTGTGGTGCTTTGCTAGCTGATCCAGGAACTGCTCTCAAAACCTGGCCTGGTGTTTACTTCCACGTGGAGGGAGATGTTTGGCCCGTAAAATGCCAGCTTGCGCACGGTGTCGACTGTGCAATTCTGGTTCAGAAAGAAAACATGGCCCTGAGTGGCAGATCTGCAGTTTGGCATCCAGGGCCTCAGGCACGCAACTGCTACATCCGTGTTGGTTCCCTGAATTTCACTCAGTTATATATGTCAAGTTCCACTTCATTCCCGTCATGAGGGCTGAGGCACTGAGTGTCCCGTTCAAGTCAATGAAAGCTTTGCCATTGGCTTCAGCGGGTGGAGGATCAGTCCTTAATCTGTGTACAGAGTTTATGCTGTAGTGCGTTACGTGAGTGAACTTCATCCACAGAGAATAATAGGACTTCCTCATCCAATTCTCCCCAATGCTTTGGCAAGGTTTTCTGACCGGGGAGTGCAGAGAATTTGCATGCAGTTAAGAGCCTGGTTGGCTAAACCCCAAAGTTCCCGGGCAGGCAAAATTCCCATTGCCCTTGCTGGAAGCCAAGTTGTAACCTTGGACTTGGAAGTGGTTTGTATTTTTGTCCTACCTCAGATATCAGCATATAAAATATTCCTTTCCTTTTTATTTGTAACTTGCACATTGAGATGCTCCTCTTTTCAGAGGCTTTTTAATTTCAGGTTATGTCATTATGAAATTAAGTACAGTTTTCACTAATGTTTGGATGTTTTTGGTTTTATTTTTAGTTACCTCCTCTCTGTCCTCGCTCTCCTCCCCATCCTTCACTTCATCCAGCTCTGCAAAGGACATGAGCTCACCGGGAATGCAACCCCCAGCCACAGCCAGCAACTCTTTTGAGGTTGCAACCCATGCTGACTCTCACAGCAGTGGATTGGAAGCTGAACTGGAGCACCTACGGCAAGCTCTGGACAGTGGCCTGGACACTAAAGAAGCCAAAGAGAAATTCCTTCATGAAGTTGTTAAAATGAGAGTTAAGCAGGAGGAGAAACTAAATGCTGCGTTGCAGGCTAAACGCAGCCTACACCAGGTAAAATGCAAAATAGCTTCTTATTGTCATTGTCTGCAGATCTCGGAACGAGTCAGCTAGTTCTGCGTTAAAAATACTTCTCTGGTCTTCCCACAATGGCAGTACCATTCACAGGAGCTCTGATTCAAAACACAACTTGGAGGCCAGGTTATGCAGGAGAAGGGGTTTTTATGTTTTGAGACCCACCACCCATT